AAAAGGAGACTTAGAGTTTTTATACTGAGAAGCCCTTTCGTCTGGCCCATATCAGATATATTGGTGAATAAGATAAATACCCAGTTACTGTTCTTAGAATTTGTCCTTGATCACCAGTTGCGTGACCTTTGCCTAAAATTGGAATAATATCCTCATACAGCTATGAGGATGAAATGAATAGAGCCTGTGGCTCTAAATACATCAGTTTCTCTGAGATTCAGCATTCTTTCCAGTAAGACCAACCGCCTTTAGCATGTAGATATCAAGCCACAATCAATACGTAAGGCACGTATATGACCAGATGTTATTCCAGGTATGTTCTATAATACCTAGATATGTCACAGTACATCCTATACATGTGTAGGTATATAGACTATATATGCATGTAACATGACCACATGATGTATGTGTATATATATACCTTTGTGAATGCACCCTATAAAATATGTTTAAGTATACATGGTTTATATCGATTTCTCAATCTCTACACTATTGACATTTTGAGTCCTGATAACTCTTTGGGGAGTATGTGTATCCTATGCTTTATAGGGTGTTTATTTAGCAGCATCCCTGGCCTGATCTAGATACCAGTAGCACTCCCCAAGTAGTGACAACCAAAAATGTCTCCAGACATTGCCAAACGTCCTCTTGGGCCAAATCTTTCCCTGCTGAGAATCTCTGGTTTATGTGGAAGTACATATGTCATAAGCATCATAGTATATGTGTATAACACATGAGACCTCGTGTGAACATTGTATAGTATATTACATTTAATGGTGTGCCAGGCACTAACTTGAGTGCTTTACATACTTTATCTCATGTCATATAACTAACTGTATGAGACCGGTACTATAATTATTCCCATTTTACAGAGGTGGAACCTGAAGCTCAGAGAGAGTAACTTGCTCAGGATCTGACACTTAGTATGTGGCAGAGCTAAAATTTGAACCCAGGCAATCTTGATTCCAGAGTCAACATTCAATCTCTTTACTAAACCATCTCCTTAATATGTGACAACACACTATGTGTGCATATTTATGGCAGCACAGTGTAGAGAGCAAGTCTATAGTATACTAATCACATTCTGAGTGGTAGAAAGACAGATATTCTTACGGTACAGAAGGAAGATGCCAGTTCCAGAGAACTAGACTTGTTAGCTAGAGATGAGCAAGTTGGTCTTGTTACAGTTCTTTGGGGCTAGCAACCACTAAGGCTTCCCCATGTTTTCCTCTATTTTCTGATTCATCCAGTTTATTCATCCTTCCAACTCATATTTATACTGAGCACCTCCTGTGTGTCTAGACACTGTGCTAGGCCCTAAGGGATGGATATATACAAAGATAAGATAGTCCTTGCTTTAAGGAGTTTACAATTATAGGAGCAGATAGACATGAAAACAGTTCCTGTGTAAGGGGATAACTGTTTAGTGAAGGTATGGAGAAGAAACAGTGGGACTGAAAAGAAAATTAGTATTGTAATGTCAACAAGAAAACATCCAGCCTAAGAAAAAGCTTATAAGAGTTTCTTTGAGCCAAACTGACAACAATTGCCGGGAAGCAAAGTTTCAACAGATTGAGAAAATGCTCCGGAAAATGGCCGTTTTGCAACTTATTTTATACATTCGACTCAAAGGAGAAGGGTTATATGAAATCCATTGATTGTAGATTAAGGGGATGGGAGAAAGCAAAGTGGGGAAATCTCTGGGATTGGATAAAAAGTAAAATTGAGAGGCACACACTTTTACATTGGTGGGTACAGGATAGTTAATAGCAGTTGACAGTACACAGAGATGGTATGGGGGGAGGGAACAAGATAACAATGAGGGATTCTGTAGTTTCCTGCTCTGGTGTGATGGGTTGTGTTCCCTGGGGGGTCCGGAAAGGGATGACTCTGATATTGTAAGGGTATGTTATCTTAGATGCAAAAAGACCGCAGGCTCACTCAAGGTAAAGATTGACATTTGCCAAGGAAGCTACAGGCCCAGGATGCGACTAAAGACCATGACCCTCTTTTAGTTAGGAATTTTTATGTTCAGACCATCTTAAGTGGTTATTTTCAGACTCCTGAGCTTGTCAGGTTTAACCTGTGGCCCCTTTTCTGTCCACAATAGTGTGCCTGGAAAAAAGAAAGAAAAGCCTTTCCTGAGGGGTAAAGCTGAGGTTGTGAGATAAAAGGAAATGGAAGTTCACCAGGCCGACAAAGCAGGGAAAGGTGGCCCCGTCCGTGCACATGGTAGGTACCACGGCCTGGAGATAGGACAAATCACAGCATTCTCCTGCTCTGAAGAAAGCGTTGGGAAGTGACTAGAACACAACCATCATCTCTAGATGGAAAGAATGAGCAAGCTAGTCGTGGGAGCATTGCCCACTCATCCATTAGTGGGAGTTTGTGGAGGATGAGAGGCAGCGCTTCAGGCCCCACAGACACTTTTCATCTCTGTTAAGCCCTCACACAAAATGTGTTGATGCTTTTCAGAGTCTATAAATAAATGTCTGCTTCCATCATAAACCTTGGCCTTGGCATAGGAACATAAATAAAACGGAAAATGCAAATCAGCCTCTAAATTTTTCCTTTCAAAATTATCTCCCCAATTCAGCAAATTTCCAATTACATGAGAAACACATTATATCATCTTAAAGACTTACTGCTTAAGAATTCTTTCTTTAGATTCTTCGTTTACTGAATTCTTAGTTTATGGTGGCGCTGACTGACTCATGAATTTGTAGGCTGTCTTACCAACCTGTTTTGCTCTAACCTGATATTTAGTAAGTTGTTTTTAACTATAGAAATCACATCAAAAGTGTAAAGATTTTCAGGAGGGACTGACTGCAAATAGCATTTGCTTCAATTATTTTCCCCCAGCTTTTTATTTCATGCCTATAGAAAAGTTGGAAGAGTAGTAAGTATAATGATCTCTCTTATACCCTTTGTCACATACCATTCACCTAGATTGACTAATTATTAACAATTGCCACAATTGGTTTGTCTCTTTACACATGTCTATAGGTATATATTTATGTTAAGACAGAGGATTGTAATGGTGGCACCATATATCTTCTATTTTGAGATTTGGATCTCTGGTTCATTTGATTTAACAAGTAATTTAGCTTGGGACTTTTTGAAAGCTTTTCTTTCTCCACTTCCTTTCTGCCACGCCTGAATGATTCTGCTTGCTGTACATTTACTATGCATACCAGTTTCAATGTTTCTATTTACTTGGCCCAGTGCGGGCCCTGTGACTTGGGAGAGGTTTTGCATCTGTATGGGATCCACTCCTGGCTCCAACTTAAATCTACATAACATATGCAAAGGTTGCCATAACCAGATTAACTGTACCTCTGCCTTCTCCCTGCCCCCCAACGAAGGAAGCCAAACTCAATAGAAAAGTCCACTAAAGGCCGAAGCGATTTACATCCTGGTTAGAAAATCTAAAACTTGAGACCAAACACAGACTCCAGGCAGTAGTTTGCAGTAGTTTCCAGCAGACTCTGCCCAGCCGACCCTCTTCTTACTTTAATAAATCTTCCTTCTGTTACCGGGGAACAGACCCTTCTTGGCACAGTGTCCAGGCTTTTGGCACCTTGAGCAAAGAATTGAATGAGACACAGAAACACAGCGGTGAAAGAACAGTTTATTAGAAGTGAAAATACACTCAGAGAGATAGGAGCGGGCCCGAGCACAAAGGAGCAGCTCAAAAGGTGCCGACTGGTGAGGACTTGGAGGTTTTATTTCCTTCTCTTCTAGAATGGGCTACTAATTGTGGGGTTTGAGGGTATTCCAATAATTATTTGTTTACTAGCTAAAAACCCCCTCACAGACAGCGCCATGTGAGCTGGTACATTGTCGTGATGCAAGAGCCATGAATTGTTCGTGAAAAGTTCAGGTCGTCTAACTTTTTCACACAGCCTTTTCAGCACTTCCAAATAGTAAACTTGGTTAACTGTCCAGTTGGTTCACATTCATAATGAATAATCCCTCTGATATCAAAAAAGGTTAGCAACATCGTTGCAACAAGTTTGCAAACTTAATTGTCAGACCTCCTATATGTGTGTATGTTTTTTCCTGAACCTTTTGATAGCAAGTTTACAAAAGAGGCAATGGAGAACAGGCAGCCATTGCAGTGATGGTCTGAAGGCGGGATGATGGTGTGATGGTGGCATCCTTATTTCTAGGAGGAGGTGAGTACAGGGCATCTTAGGAATATACCAGAGAGACTCCTCATCTGTCTTTTCTGGTCACCAGAAGAGGTTTCAGGAAGGAAGTGACAGGTAAACTACCACCTACAGGACAGTTTGGAGTTAGCCAGGTAACAGGTGGAAGAGAGCATCCTGGGCCAAGGAAACAGCACATGAAAGGCCTAGGAGCAGGAGGAGAATACTGTTTCAGGAAGCTGCACATAGATTTGTTTGTCTAGATCATCCAGGTTAACGTGTAAAAAGGGGGGAATCAGATCTTAAAGGTCCTTTTCAGTCAAGTTCAGGAAGTTTATCTTAAGGGTAATGGGTGTCCTGGCGTGTAATTAACCCCTGGTCGTTTGCAAAAGATGAAGGCAGTCACACAAAACTCTACAAAATGGGAAGGAAAAAAGGTTTTATTAAAGTTAGGGAGAGAGAGAAAGTGCCCACGGCAGTGTCCAAGGCTGCCATGGGTTGTAAGGAGAGAAACAGCAGTGGGGGAAGGGGGAGGTTCGCCAGGGCAGAGTCCAGAGTCTGAGAGTGGACAGCTGCACCTAGCTTCAGGTTAGCTTTTTCTTACATAGGAAACGGGGAGTCAGTCAGGCAGGTCTGAGGGCTGACAGGCTTCCTGGAGTCTGGTCTGTTTGAAGATGATGTTATCTCCAGACTGGACTTGGCCTCAGCCATCAAGGCCTGGGACTGTGCGTCCCCAGTAAAAACTGCAAGGGAAGTTGTAAATTGGATTCCAGTGATCAGGCGCCTTAGGATTAGGAAATTGCTCTTTTCCAGGTTAGGATGTTGTTAATTAACAAAGTATGTACCCTTGAGAAAGGGAATAAACGGAGTTCTTCAGTTAATCAGTGAGGGGAAAAACAAAGAGAAAACAGATGAATATCAGGATGGATCAAACTGCAAACACACTAAGTCTAATTACAGGTGGCTGGATAGCGAATGAGTCCAACTGCAAACTAGCTAAGTCTAACCGCGTTATTTGATTCCCTGAATTTCAATGGGGAGCCATGGGAGGTTTTAAATGGGGTTAGGCTATGATCAATTTTGCATTTTTGAAAGATTACTCCGGTTGAGGAGTGAAGAAAGAACGAGAAGGCTCAAGAAGAGACAAGGGGGCCATTTAGGAGGCTGTTGCCAAGATCCGTGGATGACATAATGGCAGTGAGAGCGAAGAGAGTAGTAGAGATTTTCAGGAGGAAGGACTGAGCAACTAGAGTTGAGGTGGCCGGGGGAGGACTCGGGGACGTCAGGGGCGAACCCCGTTTCCTAGCTTGGGCAGTTCGGTGACTAGTGGAGCCCGTTCCCGAGCTAAGGAACCTAGAAGGAGCAGTCAAGGAGGGCAGAGATACCGAGTTTAATCCTAGTTATGGTTTGAAGCATTTGTTGGAGATCAGTGGAGATGTCCAGTTGGCACCCCTGAGCTCCAGGATAGAGGTCTGGATCGGAGGCAAACTGTGCCCTGTGCCTTCTCACACAGACTTGGCCTCACCATGTGCATAAGGCGGCTTTTCCAGTCCCATGTCCAGTGGGCTTGGAGGGCAGCCTTCCTGAAACACCACCAGTGCGGGCACCAGGGAGCCCGGCGATGGACGCGGTCTGGAGGCGGCCCCTACAAAGCGGTGATTTTTGACATGGGTGGAGTTCTCATTCCATCTCCAGGGACAGTGGCCGCAGGTGAGCTCTTCGTTCTATTTCATTTTGGGAGACTAGGGTGGGGGTGTGGAAATAGAGGGTGGTAAGGGGAGACAGAGGGACATTTGGGCAGCAGTGTGTCCCAGTGGGTAATACGCTGGCTCTTGAATCAAGCATGACTTAGTGGCTGAGATACTCAGCAACGTGGGCAAATTATTCAACTCCTCAGAGTCTTATTAGTTTCCTCATCATCAAATCAGGGCTATTAATAGTACCTACCTACCTCTTTGGGGTTTGAGGAGCCTGAAAAGAGATAATCTATGGAAAGCACTTGCTTAGCAGAGTGAGCTTAAATTCTCAATAAATGACAAGCTGCCATTGCTGTTGTTATTGGTAGGATGTAACTGCCTTTCCTGAGAACTGTGCTCCTTCTGAAACTTTGAATGCTGAAATCTCCCTCTAAACCTACAAGATCAAATCTCTAGTCTCTAATCCTTTCTTTGTCAGCCCCTCCCAATGTTGCATTTTGTCCTACTACTCAGTTAAGTAGGAAAACTGACTTAAGTCAGATTAGTTTGGGCTTCAGGTGTTAGAAAACCTAACAAAACAATGACTGAAATAAGGCAGAAGTTTATTTCTTTTGCACATGAAAAAGCCCTGGAATGTGGCCTGGGGCTAGTGTGATATCAGGGACTCAGGCAGCTTCTGTTGGGTTGCTCTGTGGAGAGTGCTCTTCATTTCTAGGCTCATCTCCTGGCCTGTCTTGGCTGCTTTACCTCCCGCCATTACATTCTCAACCCAGCCAGCAGGAAGGAAAAAGGGCCAAACAGCTGCCCCTGTCCTTTTGACTTCTACCATGGCTGGTTGGGCAAGTCTCCATGCTGAATCAATTCAAAGCCAGGTTTTCCGTGCTGCTGGGTAAAAAATTACCCAGCTCTGCAACTGGCTAAGTCAGCAATTTTCTTAGCTCCAGCTGCAGCTGGGCCCTCAGCCTCTCTATTTTTTCACTCGTATTCGTCTGTTTTTACCACAGGGCTATTCCAAACTCTCCATGAGTCATCCTACTGCCCCACCGCAAACCTTCATACTTGGCCGACTGCTGAATCTCCCCTTTCACAGAGAACACAAAGATCACTGAGCAAAAATTTTCTTGGCTTTCTCCAGAATAGCTTGAGAACCTATCTGCTACTCCCCACTCCCACTGCCTCAACCCATCTGTATGCTGTCTTCTGGCACCTGTGCGATCCCATCATTCTCCTAAGTCCTCTCTCTGGCCCTCTGGGTTCTGTACCATTCTCCATATACGCACCCCAGAATTCCGTCTCTAAAACACAGATCTTATCCTTTCACTCGCCTGCCCTTTGTCTTTCAGGTCAAATCCAGAAGCTTTTGCCTGGTATTCAGGGCCTCTCACAGTCAGGCCATCGTGTCCTTGTGTCACACCATTTCCCACTGCGTGTGCACACTTCAGCAGCCAAAGGCTACCTGATGTTCCGTAAACTCGCCAAACACACTTCCAGTCCCATGCCTTTGCAAGTTCTGTGCTCTCTGCTGGCCACTCCCCTTCCCTGCCTCTTCTGCCTGTTCAAACCCTGCTTACACTTTTAATGATAAACTCAATGGTATATTATTCAGCTCAGGGCCTGGATTCTTTTGAGCAGTCAGTACATGTGTGTTTGTGATAAGCAAATACTAGAATTAAGATCATCTCAAATACCATACTCAATTTTTATTTTACATTTAAGCCAGGGGTCAGTCAACTGTGGGCCGAATCTGGCCTGCTAGTATGTATATGGTTTTATATGGCTTATCAGCCAAGGATGGTTTTTATGTTTTGAAATAGTGGGAAAATGTCAAAACAAGAACACTCTCACATGTTTTGTGACATGTGAAAATTATACAAAATTCAAATTTGTGTCCCTAAAAATGAATTTTTTTTTTTTTGGAGCGTAGGCACACCTGTTCGTTTACATATTATCCATGTCTGGCCCCTTGCAGAAAGTTTGTCAGCCCCTGATTTAAGCTAGTAGTTTACTATTGAATTAGTATACACATGACAGAAAATATAGAGAACAGCCCAAACATTTTAGTATTATATTCAGGGAGTATGATATGATCAGACTGTCTACTTTTTGTCAGTGTGTTGGATAAAAATGCTATCTCTGTGAGGTTTTTTTCTCTCTGTTATTTTATTTATTTTATTTTTTTAGATTTTTTTTTTTAATTGGGGAATTGGGGGAGGGAACAGCATTGGGGAATCGGGGAAGGGGAACAGACAAGTTGCTGTCCTTTTGTTCTTCAGTCTAGTTGTGGAGAATATCGCTTTACTGGCCCATGTTGGTCTTATCATTGTGCTCTTCCTGGGTTAGGCAGTCGCTCGCCGGCCATTGGACGGCCACTCACAGTGGCTCATGGCAGCTCACGAAAGCTCACGCCAGCTGCCGGCCAGCCCCACTGCAGCCTATGCCAACGCCTGCGACTCAAGGCAGCCCAGCTCCCAGGTCAAGCTGTCCTTCACCATCTTAGCTGTAGAGGGCGCAGCGTCAGTGGCACTCATGTGGGTTCCGAACTGGGGCTCTGCTGCTCAGAGCTGGTGTCCCAAGCCACTAACCAACGTGCCACTCGGCCGGCCCTCTCTCTGTTATTTTAATATTCATGTTGAGCCGTCTTTTCTTTTTTTGCTATATTTATTGGTCATTCAGTTTCCCCTGTGACTTGTCACTTTTGTTGTTGATTTGCAATAATAGTTTTTTTGTCACTGGCAAATATTTTCTCCCTTCTGTGGTTTGTCTTTTATTTATAATGTTTTTGCCATACCAGACTTTTCTTTCTTTTTTCTTAGAAATGTAGGCTGACACCTTTATGGCTTTGGGGATGGGGGTGCTCCGGAGCTCTTAGGGGTGGGGGCAGGTTTGCTTCCTCTTCACTGTCCCAGGCTCCTGGCTGCACAGGATGGTGCTGGCTCTGTAGGGGGCGGCCATGGGCACATCCAGTTGGTACTTGTTCTTTTCGGATCTTGTGCCGGATGCTGCTGAGGGTGGCCTGGGCGTTGTTGTTGGTGGTGGTCCGCACGTAGAGGAGGTGGCTGGATCTCGGCTTTGTGACCACTGCACCTTTGCCCTCAGCCACCTGCTCCCCTGCAATCTTGCGGTGAATCAGCCGCTGGAACACACAGAGTTGCGGGCCTTCCATTTGTTGGGTTCGGTATGGTACATCTGCTCAGTCCTCTTGATCAGGAAGCTGGAGCAGTTCCGCACAACCACCCCTCACAGGTGTGCGGACCTGGCGGCAGCTCCTGTCACTGCAGAGGCCCAAGAAGGAAAGAGCCAAACTTTTCTTTTCTTTTTTTTTTTTTAGAAATTTTATTGGGAAACAGTGTGTTTTTCCAGGACCCTTCTGTTCCAAGTCAAGTAGTTGTTTCACTCTAGTTGTGGAGGGTGCAGCTCCTTGGCCCATGTGGGAATCGAACCGGCAACCTTGGTGTTATGAGCCTGTGTTCTAACCACCTGAGCTAACCAGCCATCCCAAACTTTTTTTTTTTTTTAAGATTTTTATTGGGGAACTGGGGGATGAGAACAGTGCTGGGAAATTGGGGGAAGGGGAACAGACAAGTTGCTGTCCTTTTGTTCTTCAGTCTAGTTGTGGAGGACGTCGCTTCACTGGCCCATGTTGGTCTTATCATTGTGCTCTTCCCGGGTGAGGCAGATCAGTCGCCGGCTTCTGGACGGCCACTCATGCTGGCTGCTGGCTACACACGGTAGCCCATGGCAACCCACTGCAGCAGGGGCTGCAGCCTACGCAGTCAGTGGCGACTCATGGCAGCCCAGCTCCAGGTCGAGCTGTTGATCAGCATCTTAGCTGTAGAGGGCAGTGTCACTGGCCCTCATGTGGGATCCGAACCGGGGTCCTGCTGCTCAGAGCTGACATCCCAAGCCAGCTCTTAAACAATGCGCCACTCGGCCGGCCCTCTAGTTCTTTTTTTTTAAGGAATGCTGCACAAATATCTTTGTACATAATCTCTGTTTACTTTTATAACTATATCTGCAGGAAAAATTCCTAGAAGTGGAATTACTGCATCAAATGTGTGTGCATTTCAAATTTTGCTCTCCATAGAGGTTGTACTTGTTTCTACTCCCATCAACAGTACCTGCGAGTGCCAGTTTCCTTACATGCTTGCCAACTCTGAGACCATAAAAAATGCTGTACGTTTTAGTTCTAAAATTAAAGAAGTATTACTATTTGGATTGAGTTTTAAAAGTCTTGGCATTCTCAGAAGAGAATGTGAGCATCCGCCAAATGGGTAACATTGGTTATTTTTTAAGAAGGGGATTGCTTGTCATTTTATTTTCTTTTTTATACCTTTCTATATTGTCTGAAATATTTTCAGTGCATAGTCACTACTTTATCAAAATAAAAGATATATGTAAAGTATATTCTGTCTTAGATATAATTATGAATGCTATATATATTTTTGCCCCATAGCAGCTATATTTTAGAAAGACAAAACAACCTTGTACAAGAACAAGCAACCCCTGTCCAGATGTTTCCAGTATACACAAAAGCTGATCCATCCATCCACTGCCTTAGCTTGTAATGGGTAGAAATTTGCTTCTTTATGCCACAAAGACAGCATTCCCCAAGTGAGTGTCTCAGTATACCAGCTGCACTGCCATAAAGGATCACTACTGCTTGCAAAGTGAAGGGCTCGTTTTGAAGTGCTGGCAGACTGGCTTATTACCTCACGCACTTGCTTACTCTGCGGCCAGGACTCTGTAAGTGACCTAATGTATATGAGCCAGCTAATGAGAGACCAGGGAAGAACATTTATAATCAGAGTCATCTCAAGCAGGTGCTAAGGACGCGAGGCTTAGCAGCAATGTTCCCTCAGTCACACAGATTAGATTGCTGTTCCCTTGGAGATCTAAGGCTGAGATTTCACATTTCCTGAATTTTTCTGAATTCCCGATAGATCCCACGTGGCACCACAGTGATGCTGCAGGAACTGGTATGGTGAGTCCCCTGAGCTCTCTAAACCCAGCTATTTGTTGATGTATTTCACTTACTGCACCTTTTACTTCCTGTAGAATGGGAGATACAAAATCGTATCCCTTCTGGAACTATACTGAAGGCCTTGATCTCAGGTGGCGAAAGTGGGCCCTGGATGAAATTTATGAGAGGAGAGATAACAAAAGAGGATTTCTTACAGGAATTTGGGAGACACTGCTCTGAAGTGGTGAGTGATAAACATCCTTGAATTTCCATAGTCTAGAGTAGTGGAGCTAAGACTCATTCATATTTATTAAACTGTAAATAAGGAAGTGAAAATCTAAAAATCCAGTCTAAGTTTTTAAGCTATTTCTTCCATTCCGGGGTACTCAACTTTAGCTGCATATATGAATACGTAAAAATACTCTTCACTAAACCCCTCCATCAGCTATTGTCGATCTGAAACAGGACCTGTCTGTGTAATGGCTTTGATCAGAAAGCTTATTCAAGGCAGTAGTAATATTGAGCTTTTTCACTGTACTGTGCATTTTTCTAAGCTCTTTTATTTATATTAATGCAAGTAACCTTCATAATAACCCTGCTAAAATATAAATTAAACTACAGTAAATAAAGTTCTATGGATGGATGGTGGTGATGGTTGTGCGACAATGAATACACTTAATACCACTCAACTGAATGCAAGTTGTCAAAATAGTAAATTTTATGTTATGTGTACCACAATTTTAAATATAAAGGTAGATATCTGTATATATCTTGAAAACATGATGCTACGTGAACGAAAAGAAGCCAGTCAAATAAGACCACATATTGTATGATTCCATTTATATGAAATGTCCAGAATAGGTAAATCTATAAGAAACAGAAAGTAGGTTAGTGATTTTGTAGGACTGGGAGTATTTGAGGACGAGGTGGGAGACGGGGGATGGGGAGGGACTGCTTGGGTCCGGGTTTCTTCTTAGGGTGATGAACTTGTTCTAAAATTGTGGTGATGGTTACACAACTTTCTGAATATATGGGAAACCATTGACTGGTACAGTTTAAATGGGTGAACTGTATCTCAATAAAGCTGTGATAAAGTGTGTGTGTGTGTATATAAAATGGCAGACTTGCCTTTGCAGATATGGAAACAGGATAAGTTTTCAAACCCCACACAGATTGAATTTAAAAACAAAACAAAAAATGACTAGAGAATGAAGTTCATAATGGTGATGCTGAGGTAATACAAAATCATTAAATGTCCTTGGATCATTACACATTAAATTACATCTGCTTAATACACTTTTAGAGTTCAGTGCACCCTCTTACGGTATCCTGCTACTTTTTAAAATTGACAGTCCATGAGTGAAATTAAAAAACTCATCGAAGTGAAGTGGAATTCTGATGTAAATAGCTCCCTTCCCTAGCCATTGTAACTCTAACTCTAAGTCACTTTTTAGAACCGATATGCAGAGTTCTGCACGATGGCCAAGGGAGAGGATTGCTGTAGGCACCAAGCCCGAGGCCAGGGCTTATACAGCCAGGTAGCAGTAGGAAGCTGGAAACATGTCTTTTTCTCTGTTGCTGAGAAGCTGTTTTTGCTTGTAATGACGGTGGGTTCTCCTTTCCCCTCTTCCACTCTTAGTCAAAGACTTCTGTGCCTGTGGACTCCTTTTTCTCTGTGCTGACCAGTGAGCAAGTGGCGAAGCCGTTCCCAGTGATGACTGCGGCCATAACTCAAGTTCGGGCAAAAGGCCTAAAGACTGCAATCCTGAGCAATAACTTTTATCTTTCCAGCGGGAAAAGCTTTTTGCCCCTGGACCGGACACAGTTTGATGTGGTAAGCTGGAAGCGACCCTAACCAGTGGTCCACACACAGTCTGTCCTTGCCTCAGGATGCAACATTTCGCTGCCTTTTAGCAGGTCTTGAGTGAATGAGTTTTTTATTCAGACACTCATTAGGTTTACACATAACGGTTTGGAAACAGGACTTTAAAAATATCACTGAGCTCTTAGCAAGGTCAGACATTTATGGGATTGGCTAACTGATTAAAACTTCAGCTTCAGAGCCTTCCTTACATTCTGGCTTTGAACCCCAGCCATCACCTAACACATGCACTTCCGGCAGCCCTCACATCTTAATGGGCGCTTTGATCTTTTCTCTTCAAAGGCCAACCATGTTGCCCTCTATTTCTCTGGCATTAATCCTTACACCAGCGCTGCTCAATAAAGCTGACTACAATAATGGAAATGTCCAGTATGGTTGCTACTAATAACATATGGCTACTAAGCACTTGAAATGTGGCTGGTGCCACCGAGGAACTGAATTTTATTTGTTTTTAATGAGTTGAAATGTAAATAATCACGTATGTCTAGTGGCTATTGTATTGGACAGTGTGTGCAGCGTTAGACTATCCAAGAACCGTGAGAATATACTGAGCCAAGGTTCTGTGCCAGGTTACATCTATGAAGGAGTCCCATTTCCCTAAGAGAAAACAGATCATTTTCCTGGGATAGGTCTGAATTATTGATGGATGACTTGCTTAAACTTCACTCAGTCAGAAAACAGGTTCTTCCTGAGCAATTACTGTGTGCCGGGCCCTGGCCAGGTGTGATGGGATACTGTGTCGAATGTGACAGACACAGTCCCCGCCCTCTGGACTATGCACTGGCCCGTGTCAAGTGCTCAGTCGCTAGTGGCTACTGGATTGGAGATGTAGCATTTCCATCACTGTAGAAAGTTCTCTTGGATAGTGCTGTTTTAGAACATAAGGTCCAATAGAATCGACAGGCAGAAATTCAGAGCACAAGTGTTGGAAATTAACCTCCCCACCTAATGCTGTTTTCACCTTCTACCTTTTCCCTCCTTGTAGGAAGCTCGGCAGATCTCCTTTCTGGACACTTTGCCGGGCACCTTACCTGCTTTAACTGTTGGTTTCCGCACTGGGCTGGGCCGCCACATGGCCCTCCTCCAAGCTCTCTCCCCTCCGAGCGCTCAGGGACCTCAGAGATTCCAGTCCTGTCTGCAGCGTGCGAGCCTGGGGACCAGGGCCGGTGGCCTTGCTTCCCTGAACCTCAGTTTCCTCACCTGTAATACAGGAATAGCAATTTCTTTGTTGTATTGGGCTGTCGGAAAAGTCATGACATATTTTTTCTGTTTTTCGTTGCAAAAATGTGTCATGACTTTTCTGACAACCCAACAGCCGCGTGGATCCCAGGGGACAATGCACACAAAGCTCTCCACAGTGCCTGGCACACAGTTTAGTGAGCAGTACACTGTGATTGTTTTTATTATTTTTAATTATTATTATTATTTTTTATTGGGGAACTGTTTTTCTAGGACCCATCAGCTCCAAGTCAAGTAGTTGTTTCAATCTAGCTGTGGAGGGCGCAGATCAGTAGTCCATGTGGGGATCGAATTGGCAACCTTGGTGTTATGAGACTGCACTCTCACCAGCTGAGCTAACCGGCCGCCCCCACATTGTGATTGTTTTTAGAGATCCCTTCCGTCAAGTGCAGCTGCAGGGGTCATCCCTTCATCTGGGCCATAAGTGGGCCAGGCTCACACAGGGTCCTCCCACTAGAAGCTACGATTTAAAAAACGCACGCGCTCATCTTGTCTCAGCAGTACCTTGCGGCTTCCCGGCAGCCTGATACATTGATTGGTGTCTGAAACCCTGGCTTCTCTGCTACTGACTACTGACATTTTCTTTAGAAGGAGCTTCTTTGTCTTCTTTTGGCTCATTTAGGAGACCAGGAAGACTAAGTGGAGAAGTCCAGTTTACTCAGGACATTTATTTACTAGAAAGGACAGCTCTTACCCAATCTTGAATAGTGCCAACGTGGAGTAGAGGGAGGAGCCCCTCAGGTCTGTCCTTGGTCTTGGAGAGTGAGGGTCATTCCAGGAGTGAGTAAGGGGTTTAGTTCTCTTCTTAGGGCACACCAGAGGCTATCGGTTATGGCTGCTATCGCCATCTGAGGCCCACTTCATAGGAGATTAAGTCCTGGGACTTCCAGCGGGTTGCCGGATCAGAGATAGCCTGACACTGACATGGCTTTTTCAGGGCTCTCTTGAACCCTCCGTAGCCCCCCTGGTTCCAGATCAGGTACACTGTTGAAGCAAGGCCGTCAGGACACAGGAGGCTCTTTGCAAGAAAGGAAGTGTCTTTGCTACTGATGATCTCTTTGGTGTCAGCCCTCCTGTGGGATTTATCCGTATAAATTGAGTATGGCTGTTTTGTAACTTCTGAAATATAGACATTAAAGTCATGTTTCGTTTATAACAGTAAACTGCCTGATTTCTGGGGGGGAAAAATGGTGAAATACTTTCCCTAAAGCTGAAACGTGCAGCTTTTATTCTGCTCAATATCTAACATTAGCAAAATGCTTTGTCATTTTGGAACTCATTCAAGTTTCATTTAGTTTCACAACAACCATTAAGATAGATAAGATGGCTATTAGTATTCCCATTTTACTGATGATGAAACAGGCCCACTGTGGCTTCCCAGTTTGTACAAGGTCATTGTATCTGAACTAGAACTTCAGTTTTCTGAGTTTGTAACCTGGTATTTCCAAATTGCTCAGCTTAAAAATAGCAACATCGTTTTCTATCATAATACTTTTAAGTCATTTGTTATTAACAAATCTCAACTGTCCTCTTCTTTTAAAAAAATATACCAGCGTGCATGTGGGAGCACCACTTTTAGGGACATTTATCTCCTTCCTGTTCCTCCCTCAGGTTGTGGAGTCCTGCCTGGAAGGGGTCTGTAAGCCAGACCCCAGGATTTACAAGCTGTGCTTAGAGCGGCTCGGCCTGCAGCCTTCTGAGACCATCTTTCTTGACGATCTTGGAATGAATCTCAAAGCAGCTGCCAGCCTGGGTATTCACACCATTAAGGTAATGGTCACTAGTTTTTGAAGCCCTACTGTGTGCCAGGCACAAGTGTAAGCATTTCTGTGTAGTCCTCTTACATTCATAGCTGTAGCTGCCTTTAGTGGTTTGCCCCATGTTGCCGTAGTCTTTTTTTTTTTTTAAGATTTTATTGGGGAATTGGGGGAAGGGGAATAGACATGTTGCTGTCGCTTTGTTCTTCAGTCTAGTTGTGGAGGACGTCGCTTCACTGGCCCATGTTGGTATTATCATTGCGCTCTTCCTGGGTGAGGCAGATCGGTCGGCTCTGGACGGCTGCTCACGGCGGCTCTTGGCAGCTCACACCAGCTGGCTGCCGGCCACACACGGTAGCCCATGGCAACCCACTGAAGCAGGGGCTGCAGCCTACGCCGTCGCCAGCGACTCACGGCAGCCCAGCTCCTGGTTGAGCTGTTGTTCACCATCTTAGCTGTAGAGGGCAGTGTCACTGGCCCTCATATGTGGGATCTGAACCGGGGCCCTGCTACTCAGAGCTGGTGTCCCAAGCCAGCTCTTACTTAGCCAACGTGCCACTCGGCGGCCCTTGCCGTAGTCTTCTTATTTTTCATTCATTATGAAATCTGTGTGATTAGCTGCTTGTATTTTTAATGGGAAGTAAGAGAGATGCGTACTAAGAAGGCAGTTTGAGAAGAGTTACACAAGGGGGTGAATGGCAGGCTGCAGACATTGGGGATGGCAGTCAGGTTATCCTAGTGACACTCTTCTCTGGGTGGGGAGCCAGCAGCTACCAGCCACACGGACCACCCCATGTCATGGCTGTGAAGTGCGAGAAGCCACATGGGAGGGGGGTCTCGCTTTCCACGTTTGAGTTTCATTATGAAGCTGACCGGCCCCTAGGGATGGAGTGGATGCTACGGCAGAATATTCTGCCCTCCTGCATGAGGGAGTATGTGGGCTTCTAAGTGGCTCTCTTCACAGCACATAGCAAGTTTAATGTGGAAACTCTAGCTGAGTATCCTGATGCCAAAGTCCTTGCTCAGAGAACTGACTTCGTGAACATTTCCCTCTAAAAACGACCTTCTTAGAAAACAGATAGGAGGAGAGGTCAGAGTTCACTGGTGGCAAGTTCAATATTTTCTTTGAAACCAGGTGAAGGACCCAGAGACTGCATTAAAGGAATTAGAAACTCTCTTGGGCTTTACATTGAGAATGATTCCAAACACTCTGAGAACGGTTATTCCAAACACTCGCCCAGTGAGAAAGACAATGGAAATTCCCAAAGATTCCTTGGAGAAGTACCTCAAAGACTTACTGGGGACCCAAACCACAGGTATTTCAGTTTTTGTATTTTGGTAACTCTTTCCAAGGCTCAGCTTGCAGTCTGGTTCTGACTTGCAAACCCTGGTGGAATGTGCTGGAGACAGAGGCAATGCGATGAGAACAGCCATTGGGCCCCGTGGACCTGAGTGCTGCTTTCAGTTTTTCTTGGGGAAAAAACATTAACCTCCTTTTCTATGGACCCCGCCAAAGTGTACTTGCCTGGTCTTCCACCTGAGAGTGTGGTGTGACAGCAGTCACTGCAAATGACTGTCCAGGAGACGAACCTGGGGAGTGCAGTATGTGCCCGGGGGTGTTTGAGTGTTTCTAATTCTTTTGAGATGACAGCTTTTTTGTGAAGGTGACTTAAAAGTTGCATGAATATAGAATGTGACAAGCTGTTTTCATCTCTTTGAGGTCCCGCCCTTATTCTCCATATTCCACTCTGAGAAAAACAGGTGCCTCATGAGCATCTAAAGAAATTTCTACCTGGTGATAAAGTTTTGCCTCATCCATTTGATCCGTGAAAAAGACTTTTTGTATGAGCTTCACATTAGGATGTGTTCCAGGGATTGGCGTATTCTTAGTGCCTCTATAGAGCTGAGGGGCCCTTCCTCCCATCCAAGTACTAACCCGGCCTGACCCAGCTTAGCTTCTGAGATCAGATGAGATCAGCGCATTCACGGAGGTGAACCTGTAGACGGAGGGGCCCTTGCTGACCAAGCCAGATAACTCGGGCAAACTCCCATTTCCTGCTCTTTTGACCGACTGGAATGAGTCTGTGTCTAGAGTTCAGTCTGATTATGAAGTAGAGGGCTAACTAGGATGTTTCTGCAAGGGAGCCAAAGAGTTCAGCCTGCTGAGGTGGGAAATTGCATCTCATGAAAGCAGCCTTGGCCCAAACTGTAGACCTCTGCAGAGCTCCTTTCAGCTGTCACACCAGCGTCAGGCGTGGTTTGGCTGAGAATGGGCTCAGGGACGCACAAGGGCACTTTTCATCCTCAGGCTTAAAGCATTCCATTTAGCAAGATGGGTTGCCATGACTGTGCTTGTGCTTGATAAACAGAACTAAAAAGCTTTTCTTCACGGAGCAGGAGTTGGAGAGAAGGACAAAATTGGACACTCGTACAAAGTGTGAATATTACTGCGGTGTAAATCCAATGGCCTTGGCCACACTGTAGCAATATATGATTCTGAACAGTGGGTTATGCCTGGGGCTCGATCACTTCTGGTACCCAGGGAGGAGGTGCTTTTCTTCCAGTGCATCCCAAATCAGGATATTCTGCATCCCTAATGCTGTACTCATTAGAAAGACAGACTGTCTTTCTAGGTCTGATTTGAGTTTTCTTTGTTTTCAAACCTGCAGGCCCGCTAGAACTACTTCAGTTTGATCATGGACTGTCAAACCCAACTTACTACGTCAAGCTGGCTGACCATCAACTGGTTCTGAGGAAGAAACCTCCAGGGACGCTCCTTCCATCCGCCCACGCAATAGAGAGGGAGTTCAGGTAAACTCTCAGGCCCAGGCGCACTGCCCACCCAGCCTCTGCAGTGCAGTCCCTGAGCAGACGAGGCAGCACTCCAAGTGCCTTGGGACCTTTAAAACTACTAGTGTAACTCTCCAAAATGGTTTCAAATAAGAACATGCAACCTAATTTTATTCATAAGTTTCTTTTTTTTTCTATACCTAAATCTGTAGGAGACTAGACTTTATTTTGGAACTTCTAGATGCAAAAAGGCACTTTTGAGATACTCTTCAGTTTTACCCTTTAATCTTAAAGACTCTAGGACCGTTAGTCTTAAAATCAGTGTATTAGTGGCAGCCAGTTAGCTCAGGTGGTTAGAGTGCGGACTCAACACCAAGGTTGCCGGTTCAATCCCCACATGGGCCACTAGTTGTGCCCTCCACAACTAGATTGAAACTACTTGACTTGGAGCTGATGGGTCCTGGAAAAACACACTGTTCCCCAATAAAAAAAAAATTTCTACGATGCCCAGCCCGAGCTGAGTTGCCGCTGAGCTGCCAGCAGGTAGCAGGATGGCTCAGCTAAAGAAAAAAAAAAACTTTGTAAAAAAAAATTTACTATTAAAAAAAAAATATTCGGGGCCGGCCGAGTAGCACAGTGGTTAAGAGCTGGCTTGGGATGCCAGAGGGCCCCGATTAGGATCCCACATGTGAGGGCCAGTGACACTGCCCTCCACAGCTAAGATGCTGAACAATAGCTCAACCTGGAGCTGGGATGCCATGAGTCGCTGGCGATGGCGTAGGCTGCAGCCATTGCTGCAGTGGGTTGCCATGGGCTACCATGTGTAGCCAGCAGCCAGCGTGAGTGGCCAAGCAGCCGCAGTGAGCAACCGTCCAGAAGCCAGCGACTGATCTGCCTTGCCCGGGAAGAGCGCAATAATGGTGCCAACTTGGGCCAGTGAAGCAACGTCCTCCACAACTAGACTGAAGAACAAAAGGACAGCAACTTGTCTGTTCCCATCCCCCAAATCCCCAATAAAAATCTTAAAAAAAAAAAAATTGGAGACACCCTAAAGTTACAATAATTGGGAAATTATTAAATAAACCTTGGTATAGCTACCTGTTGCAACAACAATAATAATAGCTAACACTTCCTGAGTGTTTAGCATGTATCAGGCACTAGAATCAATGCTTTAAATTGTTAACTCAAAGCATTCTCACAACAATGCCACAATATGTTACTATATGATCCCCATTTTACAGATGAAGAAAGTGAGGCTTAAAGGGGTATGTGAGTGATGGAGTCTGGATTCACATGCAGGGGCAGTGGGATCCCATAGCCCAGCCTTAATGATTATATTATTATTGCCCCCAATAAAAGTATGCCTATAATAACATAAAAATGTGTGTGATAAAATTTTAATGTAATAAAAAACAAATACAAACGATGTATAGTATTCTTAACTATTTTTTAAGACTTATGCATTGAAACCAAAAATACTGGAAAAGAACATATGACAATGTTTACCACGGTCACGTCTTAGTAGCATGTTAGCGGTATTCTTCAGTTTCAAGTGACACAAATCCACTTAGCCTGACTTACGCATAAAAATGGAGGAGGAGAGGTGGCAAAATTTTTTGGCTTCATAATTTAAATAATGACTGCATCCAGGGGCCCAAATAATGTCACCAGGACCCATTCATTCTCTCTTCATCTCTCAACTTTCTTTCCTCGATAACCCCAGTGATCATTCTAGCATATTCCCTGGGATTGACTCATTGACTCAATATGGTCACAGGTTTGTCCCCGAACCAATCTCTGTGGTCAGGAGGATGCATTGTTCAAATCGGCCATGTCTGGGTTTCATGCCCATCCCTGCAACCAGGGGTTGGGTCAGTCCCACCCAAACCATGTGGACCTACAGTGGGGGAGAGTTGTTTCCCAAAGGAAAGTTGAGGTGTTATTAGAACATAAAGGGGGCAAAGGAAACCAGGCAGGCAAAAGCAGGAGTTAGTTACTGCTGATAAGACTGCAAAATTATTTTTCTATTTAAAAATTTATTCCTTACATGTTTCAGAGAATTTACCAATAAAATCATTGGGGCCTGGTGTTTTTCTTAGGAAAAGGTTTTTGACTATGAATTCAATTTAATAAATATTGGGTAATTCAGATATTTTATCTTGTTTTAATTTTGGTAAGTTGTAATTCCCAAGGAATTTGTCCATTTCATCTAAGTTATCAAATTTATTGTTCATAATATTCCTTATTATCTTTTTAAATGTATGTAGGCTCTGTAGTGATTTGCCCTCTTTATCATTCCTGGTATTGATTGATAATTTGTATTTTCTCTCTCTTTCTCTCTTTCTCTATATCTCTCATGAGTCAAGCTAGGGATTTATCAATTGAACCAATGTTTAGTTTTGTTAAATTTTTCTGTTGTTTGTTTTCTATTTCTATTTCATTTATTTCTGCTCTTATCTTTATCCTTTTCCATCTACTTACTCTGGGTTTATGTTTACCTTCTTAAATATAACCTTAGGCCATTGATTTTAAATCTCTCTTTTCTAATATGGGTATTTAAAGTTATAAATTACTCTCTGAACACATCTGCATTCCATAAATTTTTACATGTTGTATTTTTATTGTTATTAGTGTTTGAAATATTTCCTAATTCCCCTTGTGATTCCTTCTTTGACTCATGGCTTATACAGAAGTGTGCTATTTAAGTTCCAAATACTTGGGCTTTTTTCCTGATTATGAATGTAACTACGCCGGCTTTCTTATGCTTACCAATTGCATGGTGCTCCCTTTTCCATCTGTTTAATTTTTTTTAATCTACATTTTCATATTCAAAGTATGTCTCTTATAGATAGCATATAGTTAGATCTTGCTTTTCTATCCAGTATGACAATTTCTGTCTTTTAATTGGAATGTAATTATTGATATGTTTGATTTAGGTTTAATTTCACTATTTCTTTTTTGTTTGTTCCATCTGTTTTTTTTTGTTTTTGCCTACTTTTGGGTCAATTGAATATTTTTAGAATTACACTTTAATTTCTCCATGTACTTTTTTTTTTTTTTTTTAGCTGAGCCATCCTGCTACCTGTTGGTAGCTCAGCGGCAGCTCAGCTCAGGCCAGGAATCAAACCGGCAACCCTGTTGCTCAGAACTCGTACTCTTGAGTGAGCTCTTAACCAACTGAGCCACTCGGCCAGCCCTTGCATGTACTAATTTTTAAATCAGAAAAATAATTGTAAGAAAGTCTCACCAATTCAGCCGGCAGTGATGGTCATTTTGCTTTGTTCTGCAGGATAATGAAAACCCTTGGGAATGCTGGAGTACCTGTTCCCAAAGTTCTTGACCTCTGTGAAGATTCAAGGTAACGTTCCGATTTATTTTTTCCATTGCATATTCAAGCTGCAGAAGAGAAAATCCAATATACAAACTGAAATTCCAGTTTGTTACAGTAAAGACAAATACAACTGGGGTGGGAGAGAAAAGAGACTTTATAGCAACCTCTCCTAGAAGTTCACAGATCTTTAAGTTATCCTGAAAGATAAAGATAAAGAAATGCTTGCTTTTGTAAGCATTGGTAGAAAACATCTTTTTTAACATTATAAAAATATAGATCCGTCTAGTTTTATGTTGTTTAATTATTTTACTTTAGTCTTTCTAAACTGTTTTTAAACTGCTTTGTAATATGTCTGTCCCTTTTCCCCAACTTTTTAATTATGAAAAATTTGAAACACACAGAAAGTTGAAAGAAGAGAAGATAGTATAATGAGCACCTATTTACACTTCATCTAGGTTAAAACATTGTTGCCATTTTGCCACATTTCCTTTCTATAACGTGTGTGTATTATATATATATTATATAAATAGTAATGATTACATAATAAAATAATTTTATATTTTGTAAAATAATTATCCATAACTATTTAATAAATAAGTATATTTTATGTATACATAATTTTTTTTAAAAGATTTTTATTGGGGAATTGGGGGATGGGAACAGTGCTAGGGAATTGGGGGAAGGGGAATAGACAAGTTGCTATCCTTTTGTTCTTCAGTCTAGTTGTGGAGGACGTTGCTTCACTGGCCCAAGTTGGCACCATCATTGCGCTCTTCCCGGGCGAGGCAGATCAGTCGCCGGCTTCTGGACGGCCGCTCACTGCGGCTGTAGGCCGCTCGTGCTGGCTGCTGGCTACACACGGTAGCCCATGGCAACCCACTGCAGCAGGGGCTGCAGCCTACACCATCGCCGGCGACTCACGGCAGCCCAGCTCCAGGTCGAGCTGTTGTTCAGCATCTTAGCTGTAGAGGGCAGTGTCACTGGCCCTCATATGTGGGATCCAAACCGGGTCCCTCTGGCATCCCAAGCCAGCTCTTAACCAACGAGCCACTCGGCCGGCCCTACATAAATTATTTTTAACTAAACCTTTTGAAGTAAGTTTCAGGCAGCATACGTCTCCTAAGAATAAAGACATTTACTTTCATAACCACAGCAGAATTATTATGCTTAATTAACTATAATTTAATAATATAACTTGATACCTAGCACATGTTCAAGTCAGGATAAAGTCATAATGGTAAAATTATCAAAACAGCTTTTTAGAGTCATAAACTGGTTTCTAATAATGACTAAAAAGATGATTAATGATATGTCAGTGTGTCACCCTAATACTATAGGGTGATATACTCATATGTTCCATTCATACCACTGGATACTGATAAAAATAACAAAAATAAGAAGGGGTATGTACTGAACTCTCATTGGACCCAGACACACATGCCAGGTACTCCGTATATATTTGCTCTCGTAATTCTCAAAACTGCCCTTTAAAGTTTTACAGATTAAAAAAACCCCAATCCCAGATCGATTTACTAAGGCCCACACCATCACACTGCTAGGAAGGGGTGGAGGTGGGACTTAGACCTGGTTGTGTATGGCCCCCAAACCCCTCCTCTCCCAACATGCTGCTTTCCTGTGTTACCACACTGAGACCCAGGCGATGGCTTCTACCAGTGGATTGAAGAGAAGAGAGGTGTAAGAGTATGGACAGGGCTGTGTGTGTGTGGATGGTTTGGGAGGGGGTCCTTCTAACATCCCATGCTTATGTGCAAAGCGAAAAAGAAATGTCCAGTATTCTGGGTCCAAATCCTTCACCAGCACTCACAGCATCCACACAGGGCAGAAAGAGCAGTGCCATGACCAACAGCCTGCCACATCATGAGCCACTGAAACCCCCTGTCTGTGTCCCTCCCAGGGTCATTGGCACGCCCTTCTACCTGATGGAGTACTGCCCAGGCGTGGTCTACAAAGACCCTTCTCTCCCAGGCTTGGAGTCCAGCCAGAGGCGGGCCATATACACTGCCATGAACAGCGTCTTGTGCAAAATTCACAGTGTGGACCTCAAGGCCGCGGGCCTGGAAGACAGCAGGAAACATGGTGAGCATAAGGCCACTTGTCTTTCATGCTGAGCGTTCCCTCACTGTTGCCCCTGCTTTCGGGATTTGCATGGCTGTCAGGGTGTGAACACACCAAACGGTTAGGAAATGTGAGTAGGGCTTATTAGCTTCCTACTTGGAAATCCGATTTATTAATGGAGGTGTCGCTTACCTAGACATTTTGTCCTGGGATAAATCCCTTCATGGATTACAGAATCTCTTCCTTGCAACTTTTATCTCACTAGATCATTTAAATCTTTCCTTTTTTTGATACTGGCCAAAGGGTATTTAAGATCCTTTCTTCCCCGTTTTTGCACCCTTTCCCTTAAATATTCATTTCAACAAGCATAGATTTTTTTAAATGCCATTATGCCAATGTGTTGGTGTTTTTTTAAAGATTTTATTGGGCAATTGGGGGAAGGGAACAGCGTTGGGGAATCGGGGAAGGGGAACAGACAGTTGCTGTCCTTTTGTTCTTTAGTCTAGTTGTGGAGGACATTGCTTCACTGGCCCATGTTGGTATTGTGATCATTGCGCTCTCTTCCCGGGTGAGGCAGATTGGTCGCTGGACATTGGATGCCGCTCACACCAGCTGCAGGCTGCTCACGCTGGCTGCTAGCCACTCATGGTAGCTCACAGCAGCCCACTACAGCAGGGGCTGCAGTCTACGCCGTCACTGGCCACTCACAGCAGCCCAGCTCCAGGTCGAGTTATTGTTCACCATCTTAGCTGTAGAGGGCACAGCATCACTGGCCCATGTGGGAACCAAACTGGCGGCTCTGCTGCTCAGACCTCGCGCTCCCAAGCCAACTCTTAACCAACTGAGCCACTTGGCCAGCCCCGTGGTGTTTTTTTTTAATGTCTGAGGGTTCCATTTGCCCCTCACCCTTGCCAGCATTTGGTATTGTCAGATGTTTTCCTTTTTATTTTTATTTATTTTTTTTTTTTATTTTTTTTTTTTAGCTGAGCCATCCCGCCACCTGTTGGCAGCTCACGGCTGCTCAGCTCGGGCTGACTCGAACCGCTGTTGCTCAGAGCTCAAACTCTTGAGCGAGCTCTTAACCAACTGAGCCACTCAGCCGGCCCTAGATGTTTTCCTTTTTAAAGTGTAGTATTCTATGAATCTTGACGCAGGCACATAATTTTATAACCACCACCACAATTGTCTCCATGCTTTTGCATGCAGAAACGTCAGCACAAACCAAAGAATCTCACTGGTCCAGATTATCTGACTCTTGACCAGAATGGATACCTGGCCATAGCCAAAAAGAATCTCTCAGCTAAGCAGCATTTTCTTTCTCTGCTTTTAACCCAAACATGCCAGTTTTCTGTATCAAAGGCTACAGAGTGTCCAAAGTACATGAGCTTCCTAACACATTTCTGCCAAGTTACCTGAAGTTCCACCATTCCAGAGGGCACATGATCTGAGTCCCCAAAACTAACAGCTTGAGACGCTTTGCTACAGCAGAGCAGGCTGGCCAAATTCCTAATGCAAATTGAGGGGTCCTCACTGCCCCACCCCTTCCAAGTACAACTGGATCCTTATCATCCCCCCATATTTTAACCTGTTGACCAGAGATATACACTCAGTGGGGGTTCCCCTCATCTTGGTGGTCTCAGTGGGAAATAACTTACACTAAAAATGCCGTCATAGTTTATCTGAAATGCAAATTTAGGCAGGCATCCTATATGTTATCTGGCTGCTCTAGTTACCAGTAAAAGGACCAACAGGAAAAGACAACAGATGACGTCTATTTGATCCATTGTTTCAGGTGGAAAGACCACTGGGCCAAAAGCCAGAAACCAAATGGTAATTTGTGGCTGACCTTAGACAAGTCACATTACTTTGTCACAGTTTCCTCAATAGTAAGGTTTGGTTAAAAAAAAAAAAAAAGCCCTGCCTCCCTCCCAGGGCTGATGTGAAAAGCAGATGGAGTGGCAACTGTCCCAGGGCTTTGAATGAAGTTGAAGCCTGAGGCAGACGAAGCAATGGGCCCTGTGACCTCCCACCACGGCCACGGACAGGGAATAGCTTATGGAAGTCTGTCCCACGCGCTGAGTGAATCCTTTGCCTTTCATTTTGCCGCTCTTTCCACTGACCTATTAGCATGAAGGGACGAAGCAGAAATTTGATGTGATTTCATGTGACCCAGGGCCAGCCTCCTGGGCCACAGCTGTGTTTTGAACCTGAGAGCATAAAGCAGCTTCATCGCATTTCAGGTTCACTGATCCACCTGCAGGGACGTCAGAGCTTCCTTTTCAAGAATGCTGCAATTTCTCAGTTATGTCAGAAACCCAGCTGTTGGGCAGGACATTGGCTATATATATATATACAGAGGGTGCCAAAAACAGGTATACACATTTTAAGAAAGGAGAAAACTGTATTAAAATTGTAGTACTCAATATATACCGATAGCAAAAGATGAATACAAGTCACGTTTGACTTCTGCAATGACAAGAGGTGCTCCAAGTGGTTCCCATCAGCGTCCAGACACTTCTGATGAGGCGAACTACTGCTTGCGCAGTGTTGACCCAAATGTTTTTTGGCACTACACATATATATATACATCACCATTTGTGTAAAGGGGGGTGTGTTTAAATAAATTTAAGTGTCTGTGTGCACAAGCAAAGAACATCTCCAAAAGGAAACCTAAGAAACTGGTCACGTGGTTTGCCTTTGGGGAAAAAGAGCTGAGCTGCCGGGCAGAGGGGTAGGTGAAAGACTTCACTGCCTTCCCTTTTGTCACTTTACTTTCAAGCCATGTGAATGTATTATCTATTCAAGAGAACACATTGAAATTCGTTGAAGAAAAGAGCACACAAACATGATTTCCAATCAAAAGGAACTGTTGACAAAGATCCTTTAGGTACAGTCTAATTATCACAAAGAACCTTTCCACCAAGGCCCTGCAGGGAGCATATAATCCTCTTTTCTCATCCCAGAGGGCAGTTTCAGTGGCAGGAGGCCTGTTAGGGACCAGTGGCAACAGAGCCAGAGGCTTGGGGACAGCTGCCTCTGCTTCCCGTGAGAAGGGAATGTGGGCAGCACTGGGTTGGTGTGTATAGGGTAGTGGGGGGGAAGGGGAGTGTCCCAGATCCACACAGGAGAATTTCCTGAGGGGCTCCTGCCACAAAGGCTCCTGTGGTTTTTGTATTTGACTTATTATGGTAATTTCAAACTTACAGACATGCAAACTAGTACAATGAATAACTATATATGCCCACTACTAATTTTAACAATGGTTCACTTTTGCCATGTCACTTCTCTCTTTATTTGTGTGTGTGTGTGTGTGTGTGTACATATGATTAACAAAGTTCATTCCTAAATACTTAAGTATGCATGTCCTAAAAATAAGGACATTCCTCAATACCGTTATCATTACCATTTCTCAATACCAGTACCACAAAATGTACCATTTTCCCAGAATATTTAAAACCCAGTCCATAGTCACATTTCCTCATTATCCTCCTTATAGCTTTTATAAATGAGTTTTTTTCCCCCCAAATCAGGATCCAATCGAGGAATCTAGCACAGGACCCCCAATATCTGGTTTTTTTCCAATGAATTTTTTTAAGAGACCAAGTCAGTTGTCTTACAGTTTTGTCTCAATTATTTCCTTATGGTTTCATTTACTGCTGTCTTCTATTTCCTATAATTCTGAAAACTGGAAGGTAGCCCTCAAGGTTTGATTTCTTTCGGGTTATATTCCTGTGGATTTTGATCTCCACCTCTCACAGCCCAGCTGGGTCCTCTGAAGGGCAGGTGTCTGGATGCTCTGAGCATGTAGTGGATGCCACAGAAGCAGCTCGGTTCGTCTGTCCTTGTCTTCAAACCCTCTGGGGACCATTTTTCTCTCAGATGAGGGTGAGGGCCTGGCTTAGAGCCAGGGACCTGATAGGTGGTTTATTATGAGTTATATTAATAGTGACAGTTAGTAATTGTCAATTGACAGTCGCAATGACAATAATGGCCACCATACACTGAGCAGCTTTCTGTGCCAGCTCTGCGTTTGGCGTGTCATACACGGATTTTGCTTAGCCTTCACAACAGTCCTACAGAATTTACATATCAGTACACTCATACAGAAGCAAGGGAGGCTCAGAGGTTAAATCAACTGAAGACATTGACTGTGAGCCGCGTTAATTCCAGAATTCCTTTCAGTGTCCAGTCCCAGATGTAACTTGAAAGGTCCCCAATTGTGGTATCTCTTGGGTTTCTCAGCAAACGACTAAGTAATAGCAAGTACTCATGTAGTGATTACTACATGCCTGGAACAGTTCCAGGGGCTTTCCATATTTTATCCTCCCAATAACTCTATGAGGACCATCTCATCAATGAGGAAAAACTGAGGCACCGAGAGGTTAAGTGACGTGTCCGAGATCACAGAGGTAGAGAATGGCAGAGCTGGGGTTCAGACCCAGGCAGTCCGAACCCCAGCGTCCATGCTCTTAGCCAACCACTGTTGCTTAGCCAAAAGGGATTTCCTAATGGCTATTAGGAAGCGCATAGGGCCTCTGAGAGGGCCAAGGCTGGGAACAACGCCCAGATCACACTGATGCAGCCAAGATGAAACAGCCGGTGGCTTCCACCTTGGGGTGGTGGGAGCATCCTGTGGGAAATCCCCAGTCCTAAGATGATGGTGCCACAGAGCATTTCAAAGGGTTTCACGGCACTGGTTAATTTTTTAAGCCTTTGGAGGTTGTTGGAATGACTCTAATCCTCTTTCCCTCAGGGGACTATATTCCACGCCAGGTGCAAACCTGGATTAAGCAGTATCGAGCCTCAGAAACCAGCACCATCCCAGTGATGGAGAGGCTCATCGAATGGCTGCCACTCCATGTTCCCAGGCAAGAGAAGACCACGGTGGTGCACGGGGACTTCAGGTAGACACGCGGAGGTGTGAATGTTTAAATGTAAAAAATGATGGGAAGGGCCTCTGAGGAGGAAATTCAGCAGCTGGTCTTGGCCCAGTTTGCAGTTGTGAGTTACTCCCGTTACAAGGGATCTCCCTGTGCATGGCCTTCTAAGGCAGGGTTTCTCAGGCTTTGGCACTATTGACATTTTGGGCCGGATCACTTCTTTATAATGGGGGACTGTCCTGTGCAACAAGGGGGCATTGCTACCACCCATAGGTCTGAAGGTGGAAACGGGTGCTCCGGTTATTACTACCGCATAACAAACCCCTCCCAAACTGTGGCTGGAAACAATGTTGTTTTGCTCACAGATCTGCAGCCTGGGCACAGGATAGCTTGTTCCTCCTGGGGTGGCTCTCAGGCTGGGGGCTGGAATGAGATGCCTGGCTCTGGGCAGAGCAGACATGAACAGCTGGACTCCTCGGGCCTCTCTCTGTCTCTTTGTGGCTTCTCACATGGTCTCTCCAGTATGGCAGCTTCTGGGTAGCTGGACTTCTTACCTGGAGGTTCATGGCTCCAAAGGTGTGTGTTCCAAGAGAGGGGGCTGGGTGGGAGCTGATTACTTTTTCTGTCCTGTTTTGGGAGTCACTCAGCATCAACTTCCGCCTGCATCATATTGTTAGGAGCAAGTTGCTTCAAGAGACGAGCAATTCGATTCTTCCTTTAGTGGCAGGAGTACCAAAGAGTGCAGACCTGTTTTTAAACCATCACAGGGCAAAGCCCTGAGAGGGTAGCCATGTGGAGAGAGGGCTGCTTGACCAAAGCTGTGGCCCTTGGGAGAGGAATACAGCCAGCCCTCAGCTATCTGAGAGGGAGCTGGCAGATACAGTACCCCTTCCCATCTCCTGCTGGGGTCCCCACTGGCTGAGCCCAGCTGAGCCAGAGGGCAAGGGAACAAGCTGGTGGATGTGGACATGGCCTCTGCAGCTCAGGCTCCTGGGGCACTGAGAGGCCGAGAGGATGGGGGTGCATGTGGAGGGGCAAACGGAAGACGCCCAGCACAGGTACACCCTAGTGGTCAGTTTTCTTAGCGCTATCTCGCCCTTCCTTCTGCGGTTTATTCAGGCTGGACAACCTGCTGTTCCATCCAGAAAAGAACGAGGTGCTTGCTGTCCTTGACTGGGAACTTTCTACCTTAGGCGACCCCCTTGCGGATGTGGCCTTCAGCTGCCTGGTTTACCACCTACCCTCCAGTTTTCCCCTCCTTCGAGGTAAGGACTGCTGTGGGGGAGAGGAAGGGCCCCAGCCGGCTCCATTCTCAAAGCATTCGGGCAAACTCAGTGGAAGTAGCTATGATTGGGCTGGTGCAAGAAATTGAGGTCCTGATGGTTTGGGTAGAAAATGCAGTTTGTATGCTTTCCTGTGGTAATGGGGGGTGACTGGGTGTAGCAAGTGTTTTAAGTGAGAAGGATGTGCATATAGGTACCTCCTATGCTTCTACACAACTAATTTCTATTTAATTTTTTAAACTCAAAGATACAGTTTTGTTTAAAAAATTTTAAGAGCCAACAGATAAAAAAGTTAAAATCATCCTAGAGATCACTGCCAATCTTTTCATTCTTTGTCATCTTTTTTCTATGGGTATACATACATATATACATACATACATACATACATACTATGCGTATACATTTGTTTAAATGAAAATGTGATGATACGATTTTATGACCTGCTTTTTTTCACTTAATTATATACTTTGGACATCTTTTCTTGCCATTAAATATTTCTTCTACAGCTTCATTTTTAATGACGGCATAGGATTTTATGGTGTAGGGTTAACCAACTTTCTACCTTAGAAGACCCCTTTGTGGATGTGGCCTTCAGCTGCCTGGCTGATGGGTTGATTCCTATTTGGATATTTAATTTGTATCCAATTTTTTGTATATTACACCCTCCCACACCCTCACAAAAAAGGCAGTGGACATCTTTGCAGTAATGTATTTACCTCTATATATTATAAATAAGGTATACTCCAGGATAAATTCCTAGGAATGAAATATATTACATGCTTCTAAACCACGAAAATGTTACAAATGAAGCAAGCTATCACTTTCTTTTTCATAATTTGGCGGGATCTTTCTCTCAGTACTGTTCTTTGTCAAATGACTGATCGAAAATGAAATACATCCCCCCTGCACTGTGGTCCAGGTGGAACTGGAGGCCCCTAGTTTCTTCCCTCCCTCTAGTGCCAATTTGGTCTGAAACTTTGAAGCACCAATTTGTGAATAATAGCTCCGTGCCTGGATCCCAGCCATCTGAGGGAGGAAGGGCCCTTGAAATAATGAGCTGACCCTTTGAACTAGCTATGGAGTCAACTTCTAAAGGGGGAAGTGATTTTCAGAACGTAAATACTGTGGCCACAGAGGTGTGTGGGGTCACTGACTGCCCAGGGTGGCTCTGTCGCCACAGGTTTGAGTGACTGCGATTTCACTCAGCTGGGCATTCCTACTACGGAGGAGTATTTAAGGATGTACTGTCTTCACATGGGGATCGCTCCCATCGAGAACTGGAACTTCTACATGGCTTTCTCCTTTTTCCGCATGGCCGCCATCCTACAGGGAGTCTACAAACGCTCGCTCACAGGTAATGGGGTGTCCTCAGCTTCTCCCCCTGGAAGCCCCCCTGTAGCCATGGAGACTTCAGAGGGGCGGATTTGGCCAGAGTCTATAAGATTCAGTTAATTCAACCATTTGTCAATAAGTAGATATCATAGATTATATTCTTTAAAATATTTAAACTTTTTAAAATGATTAAGATAATGTACATAAAATGTTAAAGTAAAAGCATACAGGATAAAAATTTAGGTACTAAAAAATACGTGTAAGATGATCACATTTTATAAAACGTGGAGAGAAGTTAGATATACAGAAAAAAACTGGGTGGCCCAAGAAACTGTGAACAGTAGTGTTTCTCTTTGAGGAATGGTGCTGAGAAGAAAGAAAATCGTTCTATAGGATTGAATTTTTATCATGTCTGGTATCTCCACACTGTGTATGCACCCATTAGTCACTTAGTAGCCTGATCTCAGATATCAGATGACTGTCACAGTATCATAGTGCTTGTGTCCAGGTCACCCTTATTTTACTTAATAATGGCCCCAAAGCGCAAGAGTAGTGATGCTGGCAATTCAGATATACCAAGAGAAGCCATAATGTGCTTCTTTTAAGGAAAAGGTATGTATGTATAGGAAAAAACATTCGATAAAGGGAAACAAAAAAACGCAACTGTATGAACACCGAAATTATTTCTGTACATTTGTCGTCTCTAAACTTATCTCTTTGTCTGAACAGTTGAGATATGTGGTATTGCCCTGGGAAGTGGGGTTTAGAGACAGAGCGTGTGTTTCAAAGGCATTCTCTGTATGGTATTCATCACAGGAGAATTCATTTCATCTTTCAATTGGGAGGAGAATAGTGACGCGGGACTGAGGTACAGTCTGTACCAGCCCACCCCAAGTGCCACTGTCCTTTATTAATAAATGGGTGCCAAAGACTAGATTTCTTGTAGATGGCTGCTGTAATTCTAGGCTGCTTGTGATGTGGTTTCTGCTGGGACTATATTTGGGAAAATATACCAGAACTGATTGTTTGAAACCAACCCAAACTCATATAAGTGATTTTCCAAGAGACAAAGAAGGCAGTGCTCTGAGATCGAGATCCAATTAAGGAGAAGAAAATTCGGAAAACATTTTGTACTCCCTGTTAAAAAAAAGAAAATCATTATGAATAACACTGAGTTTCAGGGAGGTGTCT